TTTTATGCGCAAACTCATAATGACGAACATCATCGCCAATTACATATAGGAAAAAAAACTTTTCTTAGTCATAGTCTGCTATTTATTTACGACATACACAGGGTGTTATTAAAATTATATCTCAGTTTAAATTTTTCGTCAATACTCTGGTTTTTGTTTAAAAGGAAAGTTAAAAAAGTAATTTGAGATGATAGGGAAATATTTTCGAGCTGTTTTGTTGATAGTTCTCCATGAAGTCAATTTTGAATTACAAAAACTGGCCACCTTTTCCTAGTCGGAACCATATTATTCTGTGCCAAAACAACTTTTTAGTCCAACAGTTATTTACAAATTAAAAACGATAAGCAATGATTTGAACTATTAGTTCTTTTGATACCGCTAAATCACTTGAAGAACCTCGAGGAACCTGAATGAAATAAATATGGTATGCCTATTCAGAGTTGCTAAAAAGATGTGGAATGAATAAACATTGGACTTAAGAGACGGACAGTCTCAATAGATATTCCTAGAAGAAAAATTTATCCCTTAATTTGCTGTAATATATTTCTTGTAACTATCAAATATTGCTATGGAAATATGAATAGACAAACATGCATTCTCATAACATGTCCTTCAATAACGAAATCCACCATTGAACTCATTCTTAGAAAATGAAATGCAAAAAATTAGGAGCAAACGAGAAACTAAAATCTGGAATCTTTTGTTTCTCTCGTCGTTGACCTTCTCTTGAAGGTCAAATGTTGAGCACTCCAAATCGAATATACATGAAATTGATTCAGCTGATTACGATCCTACTTACAGTCGCCTGAGAAACATTAAACAGATGAGAAAGGTGGGTTTCCGCAAATCCCCGTCTCAAGCGACACAAAGTGAGAACAAATTCTTGTGGTTTGAGTGATTTGATCTACCCCTCTGTCCACTCAACTGTGGTGTAGACACATAGTGTTCTGAGGGTATCTCATCATCACCTGACAGCCAGTACCTGACATTTTCTCCATTATCTCCTGGATTTAAATATTCATAGGATGCCACGAATGCTTTATAGTTAAAAAAGCCTGAATAAAACAACATTGCCTCATCAGAGCTAAACAGACTTAACGAGAAGACGTTTGACTGAAGCACTTGATTTTTGTCTTCCAAATCTGAAACTTTTTGTTTTTGAGATCTGCGTATTTTTGTCTAAATAGCCTTAATTGTTTGAGGACCTCATTCAGATCCTTTTCAGTGGAAGGCATTTCACTAGGGCCGGGATTGGTGATCTCTAAGATGGTTTCGTTATTAACTGTTTCAGGAATACTGTTTGCTGCTTCAGGTATTTTGCTGATTAGTATTTCAGCCTCCGAAGATACTGAAAAAGGCCCTTTTTCGGGGACAGATTCCCCCTCTTTTCGCTGTCGTTGATAGGGCCTTTCGTTAGGGGGCGGCCGCTAGCACGATTGAGTTTGCTTCTGAGCAAATATCGAGGGAACTGCACTTGTCTTATATATGTCTTGGCATAAGTCCACCAAGATCCTGTGATAGGTCGCCAAGCTTAAACTGTAAAGAACACACTTTTGATGCCTCGGAGATGCGAAAAAATCTACCAACATCTATACGTATAGCATGTATCCATCTTCATTTTCTCTTCGTCTGGAATTTTAAAGAATCCAATTCGTTCTCCTTTGGTCCAACACGCCCTCTTTGCCTATATAATGGTGCACAACAGTGAACATTTGACTTCGGCGCCATTTTTCTTACAATGCCTCCTGAGCCTCGTTTTAGTAAACTCGGTTCAGGTCTCAACCTTGCGTCCGCCATTTATGAATAGGGCGTATATTCATGTAACTTTGCTGGTATTGTGTTAGGATATTGTGTAAATACTAATGTGTTGAAAATCTCCGAGGCAGTTGTCAATCATTTACGAAGACCCTATGCAGTAAATACAGTTATTTGAATTATCATTGATTGACGACTGATCTTTTCCTTTAGTTTTTTCTAAGCAATCACCGAAATTTGCCTACCTGGTAATGTGGAACAATCCCTCCTGTCAGCGTCGTGCGATGCCAAAGAGATTGTTCATCAACTGAAGGAGAACCTGCAACTAAACAAAGACATTTTTGAAAGGCCAGACTATAACACCAAGAAAATAGTCCGTAGTCTGGCACACAGAGCAAAAGATTTAAAAAGGCTTGATGTCTTCGAACATTTAAGAGAGATTGCACCGGCTGGAACTACTGGTTAGTTACTTATCTTGCGAAACCTAACCTGCCATGAAACTATGGGATACGTTAGGGTAATGCAGAAATCAAATAAAATTCACGAAGGAAACATAAACTCCTAGAAATTTTTGATATGACAACCACCTACGAAGTGGATATTTGACCTGATGAAATACCTTTCTAAGGTATCTTCATTATGCGTTGGTAGACTTACTAGCCGCTCCCTAAGAAAGACTGACCAGTAGTGGGTTCAAGGTGTTTGTTTACGCTAAAAACAATTTTTCATGTGTGTCTCTGATGATTTTTCAACTATTCATCTTCTTATATTAACTAAAGGATTATTTTTCTATTATTAGGTCCTTTTTTGGCGGAAAACCTGCCTGTTCAAGAAATGCCAACCACTAAAGTAAGGGAACTTTCAATCCACTTATCTGGTAAGTTTTTCTATTTATCTAGCAAATGGTTTTGGATGAAAATTTCTTGCAAGAACAACTGTATTTTAATTCATGTCCATTCTTAGTTTGAAATGTCAGTCCCAAGTTCGACCAAGTTAACAATACTCTTTAAAGTAGACTAACTTGAAAATTTTAAGCGGGTTTTTACCATCTTCAACGGCTGTTTACCATAATTAATCATAGGCGGACACAGTCAATGTGTCATTTAGCTCACTTTAACTGCGTGCCATTTCACTCGCTGTCGTGCCTTTTCGCTAACATAAACTGCGTATTGTTCTTGTTGACACGCACATTTATTTTTGTCGTGCTCTTTTTACAAAGGAAAAATTTAATAAGTCGTGCCATAGAACACGCCGCTCTGAAACCACCGTGTCTTTTCTCTCACTGTCTATTGTCTAGGGTGCCATTTCACTATGCCCGTGCGTTCATCTGAACACGACACGTTTTTGCGTGGGGGTCACATTTGGTTGAAAAAATATTCTATTTTATGCAATTTCTAATTCTTGATACATATTCAGAATATTGTTATAAGGAATAACGACATAACAAGAATCAAGCAAACAAACAAATAAAAAACCCTTTTGATATAAGTGGCGATGAGTGGATGAAGGTTGCGGAAGGACTGGGACTAACTCCATCAGAGATTCGTTTTCTTGACAAGCGTACACTGAACCCAATTGAAGCAGCTTTGTCTTTTATCATTAGGCAGCGCTTCCTAAGCGTGGGTGAGCTCTACGAATTGTTGAATGAACATCACTTTCCTATGTTGGCTGATCTTTTGTAAGAAGATTGTCTGACCTCGGCATGTTGTTGATCTTAGGTAACAGTCAATCTGAGTTCTTCAAGAACCCGACATGCCTAAATTTTTGAGCTTATATGTTTGTTTTGCCGAAAAAAAAATAGGAAGTAAGGTACAGAACCCTTCACTGCTATGCACTAAAAGGCTTGAGAACCGATACACTTGGTAATGTAACTCTAGCTTCATGTGCTGTACTTTTAAGGAGTTTTTCGTTCGGTTCTATGCCTTGTCTAGTAGACAAAGGGCTGCTAACGCCCATTGCCATTGCTTTTCGGTCATCGTTAGCCGTAGGACAGATTAACAAAATTCAACCACCGCAAAGCGGGACTCCGCTTCGTTTATTACAGACATGATCACGGACAGAATTGGACGGCACTAAGTATTGTTACTAATTAATCCTAATCATAGCAATTTCCGAGAAAAGTAAAGTAGATTAATTGAAAGAGGGGCTTGTAATCCTAATATTGAATCATGTCACCTCAAGGAAAGGGACACTGAAAAGCTCTAAACACATTGTCCCCAGCTTGGGATGGTAAGCCATTGCCATGGTTACTCAAATCAATTCAGTGATTGATGGATTCATTTGAGTATACCAATTTGATCGATCACAACGTCCAATTACAACCCCACAGATTTATTAGTGAAA